GGTCAGGGGGGGGGGAGTCCAGCGCGGTGGATCCTGGGGATTTGAACCGTTTTTCTCCTGCAGGGGTCTGGGGTCTCCTGCTGCCACGCCGACACCTCCTCAGCCCTCAGGTACCTCCTCACCCCGGTTCCTCTGTTGTTGCTGTGAACACTCGTGGTGACCTTGGGGTGAACTTTGACCTCTGTGACCTGTCAATCACCTGTCTGTTTCTGCTGCAGAACTTCACACCCACCCTACAGGCCCCGCCCTCCAGGAAGCCCCGCCCTCAGAACAGACGGTACGTTCTCACGTCTCTGCTCTTCGAGTCGATCACGTGACATTTCACCCATTAGCTCCGCCCCACAGTCCAGAGCTAGCTACACGTTAGCAAACCATCGACGTTTACGCCACAAAAGCGGTGAAAAGAAATGAGTAAAAGTTAGGACCAAATCACAGGACGAGCTAAACGTTAGCAAATAAATTAGCTAAAGAAACAGCTGAGATCGAGTTAGCCTAAACTATGAGGCTAAATGCTAGGCTAGGCTAGCCGAGAGTTAGCTGAAGGTTAGCAGCAGTTCGACGTTATTGTCGTTTATTTGTGGTTTTGACCTGAAGGACATGGAGAGTCCTGACACTGGACTGAGGAACTCCTCCATCAGGGAACATCTGACCAAGGCCTCAGGAGCAGGAGCAGGAGGAGGAGCAGCAGGAGGAGCAGGAGGAGNAAGGAGGAGGGGGAGGAGCAGCGGGGGGAGCAGGAGGAGGAGCAGGAGGAGGAGGAGGGTCCCTGATGTTGGACCTGGACTCACTTCACTTCATCAAAGGTGAGACCACCATCTTCACCACCATCTTCACCACCATCTTCACCACCATCTTCACCACCATCTTCACCATCATCTTCACCACCGTCTGTCTCTGGTGTCTTCATGTCCACAGCTCCGGTTCTTCTGCCTGCTCTCACCTCCACGTCCACAGTAGATCTGAGGAACCAGGTGAGATCTTCATCAGAGACAACCACTGGTCTGGATGGAGGTCAGTGAAGACCACGTGGTGTTTCAGGTTCCACCTCACCACAATGTCGTGTTTCATCTCTCCTCAGCCTGGAGAACCAGAGGAGTCGGAGGCCCCAGAACCTCCATCCGTGGACTCTCTCACACCTGTGGAGAAGGAGAACGAAGTGAGCAGGGATTCTTCTTCTTCTTCTCCTGTGTCTGAGGTGGAGTTAGAAGCTCAACCATCAACCACTGGAGATGAAGGAGAAGAAGTTCTCATCATCACTCAGGAGATCCAGACTATTCACGCAGATGAAACTGCTGAACTGGTGCGAGGAGACCTTCTGGATCCCACCATGGTCCTTCAGCCAAAGACAGAAGCTCCAGGTCCAGGTGAAGAGGATCTGGTTCCTGAGGTTCAGGACCTCCACACCTCCACCTCCATGACCGTCCTGACCACAGCTTCTGTCGGAGGAGGTCCGTCAGAAACTGGAGCAGCAGCAACAACGGTGTCAGCCATCACCGGCCAACCGCCCACCTGGTCCACCACTGACCTTCAGGAAGATGAAGATGCAAACGTTCCTTCAGAGGAGGAACTGTACTTGGAAACAGGAATCACAGTGACGGAACCGATGACAGAGTGGGAAGTTGAAGCTCCGCAGGAACCACTTCAGGTTTTGGAGCAAGAACCTGATGAAGCTGAAGTTCCTGAACCAGTTCCTGTTCCACCGTCAGGAGACCCTGAGGTGGAGCTGTGCGAAGACGATGGAGACGATGAAGGTGATGATGAAGATGATGATGAAGATGATGAAGATGATGATGTTTTGGGGGAGGACGGCGTGGATGAGGCTGAGGAATCACTGCATGACGTTTTAGAAGAACCAGTTCCTGAGGAAACAGTTCTGGAGTTAGCAGAAGAAGCAGCCACTGGAAAACCAAAAGAGAAACTTCCTGAATTTTTAGAGGAAACAACTCCAGCAGAAGAAACGGTTCCCGAAGATTCAGAGGAAATCGTTTCTGGGGAACCGGAAGAAACAGTTCCCGAAGTTCAAGAAGTCCACCTAACGGAAGAAGAAGACCTCCTTCAGGTTGTTGACCAGGACCTGGACCAGGATCCAGATCTGACGTTTCCATCGGTACCAGCAGATGGAAATGTTCACAGCCCAGAAGAAGCAGAAGCTCAGAGTGATCTGGAGACAGAACCGTTACCTGCTAACCCAGGTGAGCAGGGAGCTAACAGGAAGTTGACCTACCATAAGGCTAACCTTTAGCTTTTGCTTGGCTACTAGCACTTTTGGCTAACATTTTTTTTTTTTTTATGTATGTAAAAACTTCAGCTGAGTTCACCGTGGAGTCTGGACTCCTGGAGGAGCAGGACTCACAGACGGACCAGTCAGAGCTGGTCACGGAAGAAGACCTGGAGAGCTCAGCTCCTGACAGCTGGTCTCCATCATCCCCTGTCCAAGACCTGGACCCGACGGTCCAAGACCTGGACCTGCGACGGTCCAAGACCTG